CTGTGTGCCTCTGGATCTGGTGTCGGTTTTTGTGGGGAGGGCTAATTTCCAGATGTCTGGCAGGCGGGATGTGTCGTCACGCTTGTTCATGTTGTGAGGGTGTTTCTCTATCTCGATGGCTTCCATGATTATTCTCTTGTGGTGATGTTCCATGTTAAAGAGCAATTTGGAATCTGCAAAATTAATTTCGTGTCCTGTTTCTTTCATGTGTTGGAAAAGAGAGGAAGTTTTTTTCTTCTTTTTTGACGGCATTCTTGTGTTCTGCGATACGTGCATTTATTCGTCTGTTTGTTTGTCCAATGTACGTGGCTGGGCAGACTTTGCAGGGTATTTCATAGACCCCTTGGTTTTCCAACTGGATTTTATCCTTGGGGTTTCTGAGGATATTGGCTATTTTTTGGTTGGTGCAAAAGGCTGTTTTGATATTGTGTTTATGGAGGATTTTGCTAATTTTATCTGTAGTGCCCTTGATATAAGGAAGGAGGGCCATGCCATTGTTTTCTTCTGTGTCTTGGTTTTTGGGGGGTGTTTCTTTTGGATTAGCTTCGTAACCCTGTTTTGTTGGTATCCATTGGCGATTAACACATTTGAGAGATTCTGTAACTCAGTTGTCAAGTGGTCTTTGTCAGCCAGGCGTTTGGTTCTGGAGATGAGAGTCTTGGCTACGGAGTTTATTTGTGCAGGGTGGTGGTGTGATTGTGCATGTAAGTAGCGGTTGGTGTGTGTTTTTTTCCGGTAGATAGTGTGTCCTAGGGAGCCATCAGGTTTTTTGTAGATTAGGACGTCAAGGAAGGGAAGTTGGTTGTTGGCTTCTATTTCCATAGTGAATTGTATTTTGGGGTGTAGGCTGTTGAGATGTGTGAGGAAGCTATCTAGTTTTTCCTTCCCGTGTGGCAAATTACAAAGGTGTCGTCAACATATCTGAGCCCACAGTTTGGGTTTGTGTTCTGACTTGTCTAAAGCATTGGTTTCAAAGTGTTCCATGTACAGGTTTGCGATGACCGGTGAGAGGGGTGATCCCATAGGTGCTCCTTTCTATCTGTTTGTATCTTTGTCCATTGTGGATGAAGTACGTGTTGGTTAGGCAGTGGTTGGTCAGGTCCAGGATGTATTCGGGGGGTTGTATTTGTTTTGAGATGGCTGTCAAGCTTCATTAATGGGCACTTGTGTGAAGAGAGATACAACATCGAAGCTCACAAGTAGGTCATTGGGATGTAGGTTTTGCTTCTTTATTATTTCTATGAACTGGAAGGAGTTTGTAACGTGTGAAGAGATGGATTCTGCATAGGGCTGAAGTTGCTTAGCGAGAAATTTAGCGAGATTTTGTAGAGGTGAGCCTATGGAGCTGACTATTGGTCTGAGTGGTGTTCCTTCTTTGTGTATCTTGGGGAGGCCGTAGAGTTTGGGGCATCTGGATGATTTTTCTCTGGGATGATTCTTAGCTGGATTTTCTTCACTGATAGGAGAGGCTTTTATTTTGGATTGGTGGGTTTTTTCCAGATAGGTGGTGGGGATCTGTTTTTATAGGTTGGTGGTAGGGTCTTGAGTAATTTGATAGTTCTTGCTTGGAGCCGATGGTGGTTCATCACAACGATGCATTACCTTGTCTGGCTGGGAGAATGATTATGTTGTTGTCTTTCCTCAGGTTGGTGAGTGCTTTTCTGTTCTTCTTTGTGTAAATTGCTCTTGGGTGGTTTCTGGAGCAGAGGATTTGGTGACTTCAAGTCTGATTTTATTGGCTTCATCTGGGTTGATTTTGGTTAGGCGTAGCTTCGAGCTCCGCATATGATGTTTTCAGTGGGGATGCGTCTCGGGCGACTGCAAAAGTTGAAACCTTGGAGAGTACTTTGGGTTTCAGTTGAGGTGAGGATCCTGTCTGATATTTTATGTACTGTTTGTTTCATGGGTTGTTGTGGAGGTGGCTGGGCTTCTGGCGTTTCTCTAGTTTGTGGAGTTTGTTGGTGTGTGTGTCTGTCTTATGTGAGGTCTCAGTTTCAGCTCTCCAGACGGCTAGTTGTTTGCATTTGTCCCAGAGTGCAGGGTGGATTTTGTTACAGAGTTTGAGGTGAAGAGTGAGCAGATCTTTGTTGGTTTGGTTTAGTAGGTATCTTTTCTTATGTAGTTCGTTTCTGATTAGGGATAGTTTCAGTTCGTTTCAGGCTCCCTAGGACACACTATCTACCGGAAAAAAAACACACACCAACCGCTACTTACATGCACAATCACACCACCACCCTGCACAAATAAACTCCGTAGCCAAGACTCTCATCTCCAGAACCAAACGCCTGGCTGACAAAGACCACTTGACAACTGAGTTACAGAATCTCTCAAATGTGTTAATCGCCAATGGATACCAGCAAAACAGGGTTACGAAGCTAATCCAAAAAGAAACACCCCCCAAAAACCAAGACACAGAAGAAAACAATGCATGGCCCTCCTTCCTTACATCAAGGGCACTACAGATAAAATTAGCAAAATCCTCCATAAACACAATATCAAAAACAGCCTTTTGCACCAACCAAAAAATAGCCAATATCCTCAGAAACCCCAAGGATAAAATCCAGTTGGAAAACCAAGGGGTCTATGAAATACCCTGCAAAAGTCTGCCAGCCACGTACATTGGACAAACAAACAGACGAATAAATGCACGTATCGCAGAACACAAGAATGCCGTCAAAAAGAAGAAAAAACTTCCTCTCTTTTCCAACACATGAAAGAAACAGGACACGAAATTAATTTTGCAGATTCCAAATTGCTCTTTAACATGGAACATCACCACAAGAGAATAATCATGGAAGCCATCGAGATAGAGAAACACCCTCACAACATGAACAAGCATGACGACACATCCCGCCTGCCAGACATCTGGAAATTAGCCCTCCCCACAAAAACCGACACCAGATCCAGAGGCACACAGAACGCCATCACCAATCAACCACACCAGACCCAAACCCAGACCCTCTCCACAGATAAATTACAGACACCATCCAGTAGCCAAACCATGGTGGCACCTCCGGATGCTGCACCCCCCTGCAATCCCTACACAGATCTGGCTGGCACAGGCCACAAAACCACAGCTCGCCCCTATACACGAAGCCAAGCCAGAGCACAACTAAGTGCAGTACAGCCATCTTCTCAGAAAAACTCTTCACAAAGTTCAAGAGGTCAAGACACGAAGGCTTTAGCAACTAATCCACACCTAATGACCCACCTAAGTGGTACTCAGGATATCACTCAAGAAATCACTCAAGATATCCCTCAAGTAATTAAGGAACAAAAGAAGAAAAGGCACACTAGCCTGGGAACTTCCTCTCTGCCCAGAACATTGGAGGCTATACACCACACCTCCTCAACAGTATTTATAGGAACTCAAACACTGAGATCCTGCTCTGTTCCAGTAACAAGAAGCCGAAAGCACCAGCCTGAAGATGACGAGTGAGACCTCGTCGAAACGTCGCCTAGACACCCCAACTTTTACACGGGAAGACACCCGAGGACACCAAAACCTGCATTCCTGTACCCGTGAAAATCTACGAAAGCAAATATATATATATATATATATATATATACCCCACTCATCTGGCTGGGTTTCCCCAGCCACTCTGGGTGGCTCCCAATAGAATATTGAAAACACAAGAAAACATTAAACATTAAAAACCTCCCTAAACCGCCCTTCTAAGTCTGGGGTTGGGCCAGGCAAAAGCTACAGTCAGGCTAAGAATCATAGACACCAAGAGACAACAGGACTGCTCAAGGTGCCCCGACTATAAAATTGGAGAAATCAAGAGATATATAGCTGCACCAGCAGCATATCTCTTCTTTCTCGTATCCAAAAATGCTAGAAGGTCCTTTACACTCGCCAGGAGCTTGGCTCTGCCCTCGCCGGTCCTGGGTGGAGCCTTTTAAAAAGTCCCATGTGCTCAGAGACTTTGCGCCTGTTCACTGGGGGATATAGGAAGCCCAGAGCACTTGTTCTTTAGAGATGTCCCTTTTATGAAGAGGCACGTAGTGAGACCATTGGTCCCCGGCTGGTGAGGCTTGCTGACCTCCCGACAAAGCAAAAAGTTGACGTTTTCCTGTTAGGCAAAGATCAGAAGACGACCTAGATGGTTGCCAGATTCTGTGTACAGATCTGTAGGCGCAGACCATCCCCTGACTCAAACTAGTTTGTTATGAAAATCCCCAAACTCGATTCCATGGGTGACTCTGGATTAACTCCCCGCGGTAGTTTATTGTTGGACATGGTTTTTAAATTTATTGTTGTACATTGTTTTAATTGTTTGTTTTTCTTCTGTGACTGTACCCCCAAGTGTGTTTTATAAGCTGGTCTCCGACAGTAATAAATTATCTATCTATCTATCATCTATCTATCTATCTATCTATCTATCTATCTATCTATCTATCTATCATCTATCATCTATCTATCTATCTATCTATCTATCATTTACCTGATGATGCTGAAACAAAACAGAACTCCATTCTTAGATCTCTTCTTGTTTACAGTGGTACCTCAGGTTACATATGCTTCAGGTTACATACGCTTCAGGTTACAGACTCCTCTAACCCAGAAATAGTGCTTCAGGTTAAGAACTTTGCTTCAGGTTGAGAACAGAAATTGTGCTCCGAGCGTGGCAGCAGCAGCAGCAGGAGGAGGCCCCATTAGCTAAAGTGGTGCTTCAGGTTAAGAACAGTTTCAGGTTAAGAACGTACCTCCGAAACGAATTAAGTACTTAATGCGAGGGTACCACTATATTAAGTTTACAAGCACTTTCAGAAAAGCTGGATACAGTGGTACCTCTAGATACGAACGGGATCCATTCCGGAGCCCTGTTCGCATCTAGAGGTAAACGTAACTAGCGACGGCACGTCTGCGGACACGTCGCTTTTTGCCGCTTCTGCGTATGCGCGTGACGTCATTTTGAGCGTCTGCGCATGCGCAGAAGCGGCAAAACCCGGAAGCAACACACTCCATTACTTCTGGGTTGCCGCAGAGTGCAACTCGAACGCGCTCAACACAAAGCGTATTCAACCCGAGGTATGACGGTATATCGCTGTACGTTCCCCAGTTCCTCTTAATATTTATTTTCTTCTGTGCACACAACTGTGTTTTTCTGCCCAGCTCCCAGAATGTCCACCCTCAGAAACAGGCGGTTGTGGGTGGGCGCCTTGATTTGCCAGCCACCTGGGTTGGCACAGGGCAGCCCAGCTTGCCACCTTCCCACCCGTATCTCCCTCCTGTTATCTCTGTGCCCGCCTCGGCCCTTGGCGGCACTCTATAAAAGCGAGCCTCTTCGCCGCAGGCTTCAACCTTCCTTCTCCCTCAACCGCTGCAACGATGAAGACCTCGCCAACCTTCCTCCTCGTCCCGCTGCTCTTTGCCATGGCCTGGGCCCAATGCCCGGCGCCGGCCGATCTGAAGACTGCCAACGGCACCAAGATCTGCGCCCAGCTCTACACCAAGAACAGCCCCTACTACGACCAGTGCTGCGCTGGCAGCGTCCTGGTGGTGCCACCGGACGAGGACCAGCCTTACATGCCATCTGCCTTCAACAACAAGGTGACCTCGCTGGTGGTGGGGCAGAGATGTGAGCTGACCGTCTGGTCCAGCAAGGGCAAAGGGGGCAAGACCCGCAAGTTCAAAGCCGGCGCCTTCCCGCGTCTCCAGGAAATCCGGAAGGGCATCTTCGGCGACTGGGCCAATGCCATCTCCGCCTACTATTGCAAGTGCAGTTGAGGAGACCACGCCAGAGCCGTGCGAGATAGGACCCCGTGGCCACGGGCAGCTCTTGCCAGCCTGACCCCGCAGCACCCCAAGCGATGTTCCCCCAGGTCTTGCACCGCAATGCCCCACTCTGTTGCCACTAAGGATTCTGGGATAGCTAACTCCCAGAATCCCCTGCTCTTGCCATGGCAAACGCTCTTGCCAACTGGAAGATCTCCCTCCCAGAATCCTCTGCGTTGCCCATGGGAAAATCTCTAGCCAACTGGGAGAAGTCTATCCAGAATCCTCTGCTCTCGTCACGTCTCCAGGGCAAATTCTCTGGTCAACTGGAAGATCTCCCTCCCAGAATCCTCTGCGCTGCCCATGGCAAAATCTCTAGCCAACTGGAGAAGTCTTTCCCAGAATCCTCCGCTCTTGTCATGTCTCCAGGGCAAATTCTCTGGTCAACTGGAAGATCTCCCTCCCAGAATCCTCTGCGTTGCCCATGGCAAAAGGTCTGTCCAAACTGGGGGATTTCTGCACCCAAACGAAATGTGAACCTCTAGGGAAAAAATCCATCTTCTGATAGCAAGCAATTCACCTACAGGAGCAGGAACGACGCCACGAAAAAGCAGAAACCGGCAATTGAATTTATTTTTCACAACCGCAGCAGAGAAGGAGGGTTCTCCCTGAGCGTTGACGATCTCCAAGCTGGACACCTTGCCCGAAATATATGTAGCTTCTGGTGCTTTTAAGATCTTTCCCGCATTCCCCACTTTGTTCTGGGTGTAGTGTTTTGGGTTTTTTTGGCTTTTTAAGACAGGCGTTCCATCTTCAAAGCCATTGTGTCTCTCTTTCTCTCTCTCTCCCCCCTCACAACTGCTTCCCCAGAGACACGCTTTGCAGCAAGCGCTCCTTCTGCCTCGTCTAGGCCACTATTCCTCCGCGTCGCCACGATAAACATAATTAAAAGCGAAAGAACACGGCTTTCGGAACACGTTCCATGTCTCTCTCTCTTTTTTGTAGCTCAAGGTCAGCAAATGATGGGTAGCTCCTACTCTTTTCTCGCCTCTTGTAAACATTTAATTGGAAAGAGCTTTCAGGGAGCCGGGAGCAGAATACAATAATCCGCGCCAAATTGTTTTCATTTAGCTCCCTTCCTCCGAGGCAGCTCCAAACTCGGCACCTCCAAAGGAGGGTGGGGTGCGAGAGATGGAGTTGGATCCAGGGCTTGCCACTTTGCCAATTTCAATGCCAGAGAGATCAACGCTTGAAAGTTTGGGCAGGGGGAGGGTGCCTCTGAGCACAAGCAGAGTGCCACAGAACCGTATAGCTGGAAGGAGTCCCCGAGGTCAACAAATCTAAGCACCGCGATGCAGGAATCGCAGGATTTCTGACCGATGAAATCCCCCTACTTAGATGGAATAGCCGAGACTCTGAATCTCAGGGTTGCGGGTTTGAGCGCCGCATCAGGCAAAAGATTCCGGTATCACAGGCGGGTTGGGCTAGATGATCCTCAGGGTCCCTTCAAACTCTATGATCCTATGAAAATGTCACAGAATCAGGCCAAAAAGCCGCCTTAGCCTTGATCCAGGGGTGGGGAGCAGAGACCACATCCTCCACTGGTCTTATTTCATGCCCTGAGCTTTTTGTCCCCGCCTGGAACCAAAGGATCATAGAATTCTAGCGAGGTGTGGGGGACCCCCAAAGGTCATCCAGACCAACCCCCTGCAATGCAGGAATCACAGATAAAGGATCACTGGCAGATGGCCACCCAAGCTGTGCTTAAAAAGGTCCAAGGAAGGAGAACACACTGCTGTCCACTGTTGAACGACCTTTCTCTTTAGAAAGGTTGACCGAATTTTTCGTCGGAATCTCCTTTCGTTGTTGCTTGAAACTGGTGGTTCTGGTCCTGCCCTCTGTAGCAGCAAAAAATAAATAAACGCAGGCTTCATCTTCCAAGGGAGAGTCCTTCAGGTATATTGGAAGATGGCTATGCAATCACCTCTTCCCTACTAAATGCATATAGCACTGCAGCCTCAATGCCCCAGTTTCCCATCTGTGCCATGGCAGTAAATGCAGATTTTCAATTTCTTTAACATCAGCAGTTACATCTGAACCAAAGGAGCGTTTCAGCCCCGTTCTTGAGTTTGTTTAAAATCTAAAACATCTTATCTCGTATTCCCTTGTAAGTTTTAAAAAAACCTTTTTGTAAAGGCAATACTAGAGTTTTCACAGCCGAGTCCTCAACTCCTTATTGCTACTGCTTGGCTTTCTTTAAATAGGGCTACATCTAAAACGTGCCACTGAGGTTTTCAAACCTTTTTTGTAAACTCAGGGGAGCGTTCCAGCCCTGTTCTTGAGTTTGTTTAAAATCATTTAAGGTTTATGATTTCTCTGTTTCCTTCTGAGGAAACTGAATAGTCCAGTGAACGAGGTTTGTAGCCGGCATCCCGCCAAGGCTTTTGTTCAATTCTCGGTTTTTTCTAATTTTTAAGGCTTTGTTCAATTCTAGGTTTTTCTAATTTTTTCCCTTAAACTTTTTGATTTTTGTTATTTAGTTGAATTCTATAATACCTCTTGTTTCAGGGATTTTCACGGTATTTCATTGGTTTTGTGTAATGGCACTATCCTGATTAAATATACGGAAATTTTCTATGTTTCTGACTTCAAGGAGATGCACAGCGGCACTCCAGACTCCGAATATATTGGAGCTGGCTGGAGTTCCATCATACCTTCTCCAGGCTAAATATTCCCAACTCCCTTGACAGTGGAAGAGTCTCCCTTGGGGGGTTGTGGACTCTCCTTCCTTGGAGGTTTCTAAGCAGAGGTTGGGTGGCCATCTGTCATTGCTTCAACTGAGATTCCTGCATTGAGCGGGTTGGACTAGATGTCCTTTGGGTGTCCCATTCCTACAATTCTGTGATTCTCTTCTCGGTTTCCAGGCCCTCTCTGTTCTTCCCTCTCTGCTACGGAACCCCAGCCAGTTCCAGTATATTCGGAGTCTGGAGTGCTGATGTGCATCACCTTGAAGACGGAAACATAGAAAATTTCCTTATATTGAATCAGGATAGTGGTCCATCTAGATCAGTATTGGAGACACTGACTGGCAGCTGCTCTGCAGGTAGGGTGTCTCCCAGCCCTGCCTGAAGATGCTGCCAGTCAAAGTTGTGGCCTAAGCTATGGAGCACTGAACCCCATCTTCTCTGCCCAAACAACCACCCCTGCAAGGTATGCCAGTGTTACAATAATCTTTATTGTCATTGTCCCATACAGAACAACGAAATTGAAAATCTACATTTACTGCCATGGCACAGATGGGAAACTGGGCATTGAGGTTGCAGCGCTAAATTGCATTTAGTAGGGAAGAAGCCTCGCTGACTTGCTTCCGAGTAAGCCTGCGAAGGACTGCATTATGAGGAGTGCAAAGGGTAGGCTTCACTGCTAGGAAGCCCCCAGTTTAGCTGGGGAGGTGTCAGGTCTACAGGGAGGGGTTGATCCGATAAAGCGAGGAACCAGGGATTAGCCCCCAAATCTTTTCCCAGCAAGCCATATCCCTGACCTGGAATAAAATGGCGTCAGGAAGAACAACAGTGCCTCTGAACATGGGCAGAGTGTCTTCCTCTATAATACGACAAAGATGCCGTTTGTAGTTTCACATCTGCTTTTAATCAAGATGCAAGAAAACGTCATTAATGGTGGGTCTTCCTACAGGATCTGGGCGGCTCAGGTAACCCCCTGAACCCCCCCCTTTGATGCCCCACACAATGCCTGACCACCCCACCGCTCCCCCAAACGCCATCAGTCCGCAGCTGGGCAGAGACGCTGCTGTCCGTCACTCTCGTCCGGAGGAATCCAGCCGGCGTCTCGACCTCTTTGGCCTTGTGGAGGAAGTGGACATAGCGCAGTCCTGCTCCGTAGCGCTGGAATACGTGGGAGACCTTGAAAGAGATGGGGGGGAAACGGTCTCAGTCCACAAGGCTACAACCACAGGGGGGCTGGGCTGGAGACCCCAAAGTTCCTCCAGCGTAACCCACACATATGTACCCATTTCTCAGACAGGCAAACGAGTCCTTAGGGGTTTTTTATGACAGCAGACAGTGCGGCTCAGCCAACCCAGTGAGACCCAGATCAGTCAGCGTTTGGGGCTTTTTAGTTTAAGAAAAAGCGAGGAAGTGGCGACATGATGGACTTTATAAAACTGTACATGTCATGGGGGAAGTGGGTAGAAAAAAGCTTTCTTCCATTGCTTGTGCATGTCCGAGAACTTGTGGACATCCAGGAGTTTGCAAAACAAGATTGAGGAACTCCCCTATGAAGAACGGTTACAGTGTTTGGCATTTTAAAGTTTTGAATCATAGAATTACAGAGCTGGAAAGGACCCAGAGGTCATCCAGTCCAAGCCCCTGCAATGCAGGAATAATGCAGCTTTCCCGTGGGGGGATCGAACCTGCAACCTTGGCCTTATCAGCACAGCGCTCTAGCCAACTGAGGAGACACGATGCTTTATAAATTATGAAGGGCACAAAGGAAGCAGATAGAGAAAAGATTTCGCCTCTCGTAAAATGAAGTCCTTCTTTAAACAGCGCGTGGTTAAACTGTGGAACTCCCTGCCACATGGCCCCCAACTGGGATGGCTTTAAAGGAGGATTAGAAAAATTCATGGGGGAGGAGAAGGTGATCGATGGCTTAGCTCTGCGCTCACAGTCAGAGGCAGCAATGCTCCTGAACACCAGTTGCTGGAAAAATTGTGGAGTGGAGATAGCTCCTGTGTTCGAATTCCTGCTTGCAAGTTTCCCACAGGCATCTGGTTGGCCCACTGTGAGAACAGGATGCTGTACGAAACGGTCCAGCCCCCTGCCAGGCATGACTCCCTGGCCCTGAATGGGGCAACTGTGCCCCTGAAGGACCAGGTGCGCAGCCTGGGAGTCATTCTGGACTCACAGCTGTCCAGGGAGGCGCAGGTCCATTCTGTGTCCAGGGCAGCTGTCTGCCAGCTCCATCTGGGTACGGAAGGCTGAGACCCTCCCTGCCCTCAGACTGTCTGGCCAGAGTGGTGCATGCTCTGGTTATCTCCTGCTTGGACTACTGCAATGCGCTCTACGTGGGGCTACCTTTGAAGGTGACCTGGAAACTGCAACTAATTCAGAATGCGGCAGCTAGACTGGGGACTGGAATGACTGAAAGACCTACATTGGCTCCCAGTACGTTTCCGAGCACAATTCAAAGTGTTGGTGCTGACCTTCAAAGCCCTAAACGACCTCGGTCCAGTATACCTGAAGGAGTGTCTCCCACCCCCATGTTCAGCCTGGACACTGAGGTCCAGCTCCAAGGGCCTTCTGGCGGTTCCCTCCCTGTGAGAAGCCAAGTTACAGGGAACCAGGCAGAGGGCCTTCTCGGTGGTGGCGCCCTCCCTGTGGAACGCCCTTCCACCAGATGTCACCAGAGAACAACAACTACCAGACTTTTAGAAGACATCTGAAGGCAGCCCTGTTTAGGGAAGCTTTTAATGTTTAATTGACTCTTGTATCTTAATATTCTGTTGGAAGCCGCCCAGAGTGGCTGGGGAAACCCAGCCAGGATGGGCGGGGTATAAATAAATTATTATTATTATTATTATTATTAGCAGATAGAGAAAAGATTTCACCTCTTTCGTAACACTAGAAGTTATGGCATCCAAGGAAGTGAACGCTGGAAGATTCAGGAAAGGGAAAATGAAGTCCTTCTTTAAACAGCGCGTGGTTAAACTGTGGAACTCCCTGCCACATGGCCCCAACTGGGATGGCTTTAAAGGAGGGTTAGAAAAATTCATGGGGCAGGACAAGGTGATCGATGGCTATGCTCTGCCCTCCACAGTCAGAGGCAGCAATGCTCCTGAAAACCAGTTGCTGGAAAATGTGGAGTGGAGTGTGTCTTGTGTTCGAATCCTGCTTGCCCACCCAACTCAGCTCTTACGTGATGCCAGTTCTTGTTTTCCTGCCTGTCCTGCCTCGCCTCATGTGCCACGTGGTGAAATTCACCCAGCACCGTGGCCCTGTCTGCTCCCAGGAGCCGGACGTGGAGTTCATAGACAGAGTCGGCCAATTTGCTGTTTTCGTACCTGCAGGAAGAAAGCAGTCCCTGTTAGAGCTTATGGTTTTGTCCCCCAAGACTGCCTTTATCACTGCAGAACTGCTGCCCTCTGGTGGTCTGAAATAAAGCATGTGTGAACACACTTTTGCACCTGATTTACTAGATATACCAGGTATTTTCACTCCGTAAGACTCACTTTTTCCCTCCTAAAAGAAAGGGGAATGTGTGTGCGTCTTATGGAGCGAATGCAGGCTGCGCAGCTATCCCAGAAGCCAGAACAGCAAGAGGATTGCTGTTTTCACTGCACAGCAATCCCTCTTGCTGTTCTGGCTTCTGAAGATTCGGAATATTTTATTTTCTTGTTTTCCTCCTCCAAAACTAGGTGCATCTTGTGGTCTGGTGCGTCTTATAGAGCGAAAAATACGGTATTTAGTGACGGTGCAATTGCATCTTACATGCATTTAACCTCTGCAATTTCAAACTATGTGGCTGAAGGCAAGCTGAATGAAATTGTGTGAGATGTGCCCCTCCCATTCATCACGCCCCCACTCAAAAAACCCCCACATTGTAGTGATGTATGGAAGTGAGAGCTGGACCATAAAGAAGGCTGATCGCCGAAGAATGGATGCTTTTGAATTCTGGTGCTGGAGGAGACTCTTGAGAGTCCCATGGACTGCAAGAAGATCAAACCTCTCCATTCTGAAGGAAATCAGCCCTGAGTGCTCACTGGAAGGACAGATCCTGAAGCTGAGGCTCCAAGACTTTGGCCACCTCACGAGAAGAGAAGACTCCCTGGAAAAGACCCTGATGTTGGGAAAGATGGAGGGCACAAGGAGAAGGGGACGACAGAGGACGAGATGGTGGGACAGTGTTCTCGAAGCTACCAGCATGAGTTTGACCCAACTGCGGGAGGCAGTGGAAGACAGGAGTGCCTGGCGTGCTCTGGTCCAGGGGGTCACGAAGAGGCGGACACGACTAAACAACTAAACAACAACAACAACAATTTGTACCAGGGCTTTCCAAGGCTTAGCCTGGAATTTTGCTAACAGAATATATCAGGGATGTCCAAGTCCCAACAGACTGCGATCTACTCACAGTGTAAAAAAACTGGCAGTGATTTTAGGAACCCAAGTTTTGGAGATTTCGGGTTTTTTGCATTTCTGCTTTTCTGTAAGGAAATTGCTGAGGGGCCGGAGATCAACCAGGATCTACCAGGAACACCCCGCGATCTACCAGTAGATTGCGATCTACCAGTTGGACATGCCTGGAATATATTATAGGCAAGGGATGAATGCATCTGAGCATGTACAAAGTTTATTTCCCTCACTCCTGTGGAACTGCCAGCCTTGGCGATCTTGGCCCTGAAAATAGGCTACTCATCAGTGGTGTCAGGGAGAATCTTTGACAGAGAGCCAGAGGTAAGGGATCAGGTCAGAAACCAGGACAGGGGAGGTAAAAGATCACCACCACCATCATCAAAATATTAAAAAAAAAGCCAATGCAATTCTGGGCTGCATCAATAGGAGCATAGCATCTAGATCAAGGGAAGTAATAGTGCCACTGTATTCTGCTCTGGTCAGACCTCACCTGGAGTACTGTGTCCAGTTCTGGGCACCACAGTTCAAGAAGGACACTGACAAACTGGAACGTGTCCAGAGGAGGGCAACCAAAATGGTCAAAGGCCTGGAAACGATGTCTTATGAGGAACGGCTAAGGAGCTGGGCATGTTTAGCCTGGAGAAGAGGAGGTTAAGGGGTGATATGATAGCCATGTTCAAATATATAAGAGGATGTCACATAGAGGAGGGAGAAAGGTTGTTTTCTGCTGCTCCAGACAAGCGTACACGGAGCAATGGATCCAAACTACAAGAAAGAAGATTCCACCTAAACATTAGGAAGAACTTCCTGACAGTAAGAGCTGTTCGACAGTGGAATTTGCTGCCAAGGAATGTGGTGGAGTCTCCTACTTTGGAGGTCTTTAAGCAGAGGCTTGACAACCATATGTCAGGAGTGCTCTGATGGTGTTTCCTGCTTGGCAGGGGGTTGGACTCGATGGCCCTTGTGGTCTATTCCAACTCTATGATTCTATGATTCTATGATTCTATGAAAAATACAATAAAACATCAGACATTAAAAATTCCCTAAACTATGGGACTGATGGGAAGGGTTCTGCCACAGACCGTCTGCACGGCCCTTGTGCAAATCACTTATTTTACGAAGCAGAGCCCAAGTTGTTTTGGAGTTGAAGGACAGGCTTCCAGTTCAAACAGCATAACTTTTTAGGTAGCATCAGGCCCCAGCAGTTATTTTTAGAGAGCCAGTGACGCTCTCAGTGTGCTTCTTGCCCATTGTGCCAAACAAGGCCAGAAAAGAACTGGGGTCGTAGAATTATAAAACTGTGGACTTGCAAGGGACCCTCAAGGTGTTAGAATTCCTGCTCCGTGATTGCAGTCGGATTGGTCTATCACATGACGGAGTATGTTTTGACTCCACCGAGTGGGAAGTGACGGAGACAGGATGTTTGTGTTCCTCTGTTCCGTGAAGTGGGATCATTGTCTTTGTTTTTTCTCTTTGCTGTCAGAGAGAGAGGGAACCGTGTTGCAGTGCTCCATGTATGTTAAATAAAGTAGATTAGCCAAAATGCTGAGTTGCTGAGGTCTGTCACGCAAGGTGCGCAAACTCTGCACCCTAAGTGTGCCGGTGTCGGTTAGCATCGGTCGCTTGATGTTCGGGCTGAAGAAAGCTTTTGAAGCTCCCGACGATCGACCAGGAGGGAGAGAACATGCCAGTCGGGCATGTGTCTCTGCCAGGGTCCTACTCGAGTGTAGGACGGGCTCCTGAACCCAGGGTCATCCAGTCCAACCCCTGCAATGCAGGAATGCAGGGCGAACTAACCAACACACTTACCAGTCCATGACGGTGAAGTTTGGCTGGTATGAATCCAGCAGCTCCTCCCAAAATCCTTCGGCCACCAGGTCTATGTGTTGCTGCTTAACGCACCAGCTAGAAAGGGCAAAGGGAGAGAAAAGCAGGTCAGCTGTTCCAATGACACTCAAAGAGACAAGAGCAGCTCACAGGGACTCCAGTGCCGGATTTACGTATAAGCTAAACAAGCTATAGCTTAGGGCCCCTCTCTTGGGGGGCCCAAAAAAATTTAAAGCAAAAAAAACCTGGATGCACATTCCAAAATATAAGATAAACAACAAATAAAATAAAGCTTATATACAGCAACAGTGTTTTGTGTTGTGTAGGCTCCTGTGATGTAAGTCATGGACCCCACCTGCTAGCCTGCTCCCTAAAATATCACTGGTTTGCTCCTTTCTATATATAGGGTAGGGACGCAGGTGGGGCTGTGGGTTAAACCACAGGGCCTAGGACTTGCCGATCAGAAGGTTGGTGGTTTGAATCCCCACAACGCTGTGCGCTCCCGTTGCTCAGTCCCTGCTCCTGCCAACCTAGCAGTTCGAAAGCACGTCAAAGTGCAAGTGTGGCATCTGAATATAGACTGCATTTTTAATCAAGGCATATATTGGCTTATATTTTGATCAGGTTCCTAAAATTCTAAAAATAATGTTTCTTCCAAGGTAGAAAACCAGCAAGCGGCTCCAGCAAGCAGCTGGCAAGCAAAGGGCCCCCGGTTTATTGCGGTCATAA